CGTCTATGAGAGGCATGCTGTATTTCTAGAAGCTTTATGCAAAACTGTTAGAAAAGTAGTCAGAAAAACGTTTTCATACATAGTTTGATGCGTCTTCATCTCCTTTTTCCAATGGCGAAAACCACAGCTCTCTAGCTCAATCCGTTCAAAAGTTATTCAAAAAATACTCACCCTTCTTTTTTTAAATGGACATTAGTTTACGTCTTTATAGGTTTGTGTTTAGAATGTAAGTATAATTTGATTTGTAGGACCCTATCGAAATTAATAACTGATCTCGTTTAGCATCCTGAGAAAGATGGATGCAGAATTTTCATTAAGATTTTAGTGGGTTCTTACTCAGGATTTGTTCAAGGTTTGTAAATCTTTGGATCACGACACAAATTTTAATACCAATGTTGAAATAAGTCTCAACAATAAGACGACATACGAGATTTTTTTCAAATTTTTATCATGCTATTTTGCAATGATCCATCGCATCCATTTTAATATGAGCATTAAATGCATAACATGAAACATTTCCTAATATTTCACATACAAATATTATTACAGACCAAAGTAATTTATTTATATGGAAGACGATGAAGAAATTGAAGCTCTACAAAAATGCTCACTTAATTTTTTGCATAAGTTTTTCTTGTTAGCACCACCTTTAACCCTTTGGGATCGGTGGTACAAGGATTATACCACCTATTTTCCAGTAAGGAAAATGTTTGTTTCTCATAAAACTGTTATCATCTGTAAGGTAATAGGTCGTTCCAGCTACCATCGCATGCGTATTTTTTCTCTCTTTCTTCCTGTCATATAGATGCTTCTCAGATCTTCTCTTTCTTCCTGTCATATAGATGCTTCGCAGATCTTCTCTTTCTTCCTGTCATATAGATGCCTCTCAGATCTTCTCTTTTCTTTCTGCTCTATACACTCACGCCATGATCACTTTCTTTCTTATCTTGATGTATTGTCATAAGGCTTTTATGTAATCATTTTGATCCACATACAACAAATTGACGAAAGAACCATTCTTCAATTGAAAAATAATTCTGTTAAACGATGAGCATCATTTCAAATGTCCAACTATGATGGTCAAACAACTCAAAACATACCAGAAGTGTTTTTACGAAATATTCCACTTAAATTTTAAGAATTCTAGAACATTCCTCGTCAGATTTTGCCTTTCAATGCATGCTTGAGAGTTTTAGGCGAAATAGTGGGATGCACAACTAATAAGTAAAAGTAAAAACTATTGGAAATATTGAAGAAAAGATTGTGCTCTGCTACTAGATAATGCTGTCTATCAATGAACTATGAATGTTATAGAAATTTCGGGTTCAGTTACTGTTGAACATATTAGACAACAATTTGTTCGTATTTGTGAAAATTTATAAATGCTTGGCGCTGACAACTAGCAACAGTATTATATAATATTGAAGTCATTCGAACATTATCTTCGGTTTATGATGAATCATCATTAAAATGTTATCTTATAAAGAATATTACTAATGAATGTAGGAGAATAAATGAGTCTCCTCTTACTTTCTCAACGATTCTAACAATCATCCTTGCTATGAACTAAACTTTCGTTAGAAAGAATTTTTCTTCAATTCTGGACAAAACCATATTGAGAAGTATTTTTCTCTAGATAAATCGTCTAAATAAGAAAATATGGTTAAAACAGTGGAAAATGATAGTTCTCTATTGAAAATTCAATGTACAAAATATTTATTTAAAATATGGAATTATATAGAAACAGGCTAAATCAGAACGTCTGACTTTCTACTGCAAGGCGTTCTCTTTCTTGCTGTTGATCATCAGTTTGTTCTAGAACACATTTTTGTCACAGACAACAATTTTTACAAATTCACGCGCATAGTGAAGAAAGTTGAGTCATCTATATATAATGTATCAAAAACCTCTCCAATTAATTGTAAATAGATGTCAAAGTCTTTCATATCTGTATTTAAGTTTTTTAATAAAAATTCTATCTGACGATTGGTTCTCGTTGAATAAAAGAACGACCATAACTACTCAAGCACATTTTCAGACGAGTTTTCTTACACACATTGTTGTTCTGGTTCTTGTATCTACCCATTGTAAAAAAAAATAGGAAAAAAGGCAAGTGACAGAACGCAAAAAGAAAACCATAGAGACGAAGGAAAAAAGATAAAGAACGCGTTGAGAAAATTCTAGAATAGTCTCGATTATGCTACAAAATTGTCCTATTTTGCTCACATATATATACGTGTTGCAAGTTCCTACGCACATTCTCTATTCAAAAATTTTCATCCAAGACTACAGAAAACAATTTTATGGCTTTCTTACCGATTCATCGTTATCGTATCAACGATCCGTTTCGACAGCTGTTAGGTAATCAACTCGAGTTCTTCGATCCATGGCAGGATTACAATGCGACTCAAGCGACTGTATCGAATGCGTTTCGATGGATCAATGAACCACTTTGTCTTACCCGTAAACGCTTGAAATCGAGACTTAAAGACAAATTTCGTATACAACTTAATGTAGACGGTTTCAATCAAGACACAATTCAAACGCAAATTGAAGGTAAAAAATTAGTTGTCCAAGCCAAATATGATGATCGTCAAATCAATGGTGATTTCAGTCATCGAGAAATGCGGAAAAGTTATGAACTACCTGAGGATGCTGGTATGTTATTTGCAAGTAGTGTAGTCTAACAAAGTCTGATGGAGCTCAATCTTCTTCGCGGTTACAAGCTTTGACTATGCAAGAATGATACACTAAACTTCACATAAATTACAATAAAGATAGGGTGAGATCTGGTTTGCACAGAGACGTGAAATTTGCGAGTGAAGGATTTTCCCATCCTGCTTTTCGTAGTACTCACAGAAAGTCTTTTTTTCAAAAAATATATTATCAATCCGTGTAGGAAAAATTTTATTACTGAGATGCCGTTCTATTACATTTTTTGAATACTTTTCACATTATGAACTTGTTTTCTTCAATAACTCTCCAAGTTAATCGACTGGGCCGTATAACTATCATCAATGCTACAGTAGGAAAGGATGAATGATTTTGGCTATTGTCATGAGAAAGATGAGTGCTAATATCATTTTGTCGATGTTTTTATCACCTAAACATAATCATGATTTAACAAGTTGTTCCATTCAATATGAAAATATAAAATACAAAAACAAACATTAAATAGTACCATACAAATGAGCTTGTTCTTATTTTATGCATACTGAAGTCGAAATTTACTGACTAAATTTTGACAAATATTTTATAAAGTGTCTACTTTGGACGACATCATCTCCATATTCATTGGATCCTTGAAAATGTTGTCAGTTGGAGTACAAATATTCTTTTTTAGTTATCGAAATAGAAAATTTTACAGATGAAAAAAATATGTGTCTCTGTGCGACCATTTAAAAATCATACTAGTATTGAAAAACTCTTTTTCATTTAATTCAATGATAATTGTTACCGATTGGACCTAGGGGTCAGGCATACGAGCTCTCCAAATAAACCACTAAGAAGAGGGACTAAGCTCTGTCATCAGTCGAATCTTGACTACGCCGCAATTATCTTTCGATTATTTATTTAGACTCTATTTATTTTGATAGATGTAAACAATATTGTGTCGTTCGTTACGTCGAATAACATGCTAGTCATTGAAGTACCGATTCGCAATCCAGAAGTTGAACGTCGTCTAGTAGAAGCACAAACTGAAGCAAGCAAAGAATTGGTTCCATTTGGACAATATCGTAATCCAATTTTTGACCATGTTGGTTTTCTGGATAACTGCGGTTTCCATCAACGTATTGTTGCAATGGACAACAATGGAAAAAAACAATTGCAAATCTCGTTGCCCATAAAAAATGTCAATCCTAATTTGATCAACGTTTCGGTGAAAGACAATCAATTGATTGTTCAATGTGAACGCAGTTACAAGGATGGGAACTGTACAGAACGGTCATTCTTTCGAAAATCAATAACGTTACCACCCGGTACACAGGTCGATCAAGTGCAATCACAAATAACTGATGATGGCGAGCTAAAAATCGAAGCACCTTACATCGAAATAATTCAACAATGAAAACTCTCAAAAAAAAACAATATAACATTTAGAACTGTAGTGTATTGATCTTGAAATTTTTAAAGGGTAGATGTAGAACTATATCAACATTAATGGTCGAAGGAAAATGATTAAAATAAAATAAATGTTTTACAACATATGCAGAAAACACATTCTATTTAATAGGCGTTTAGACATGAAAATTGTAAGGGTCACGAATCTTTCTTTAGCAAGAGATCGATGCGAAATTTGAGCATTTGGATATCGCATCAATAAACAATTTGCGGTTTTTTAAGTTAGTATAGAACAGCTATTCATTAGATTGCTATCTAAAAATAAATAAAATATCAAAAGTAAATACTCAAGCTGTAATCCATACTGGCGGACTCCGCTAGCTTCTCTTTATTCGCTTGAAGACTCAGACAAGTTCAGCAAACTCGACCTTTTATGAATTTAAATACAGTATATTAACGCTTACTAATCTCGCAGAACTTACAAAAACAAAGTCATACTTACAGATACAATAGAGTGAACTATGTTCTATCTATTGAGATAGCAAACTAAATGTAACATAGATGAACCTGTACTCTTCTTTCTTGAATGTCAGTCATTTCTCTCGATACAGTTCTCAATGCTAAATGAAATATGTATAAAGTATATAGATGATCAATCATTTTCCATAGACTTCTCAGCACATTGTGGACTGAGGAGAAGGATTATGGATGTGAGGATAGATTATGACTGTAGGAGATTGTCTTATCTTTATCGACACTCGCTTATCTATCTCTCCTGAATCCATTTGATAACAACAACAACAATATCACATGAATAATTTTATACACAAATGACTATCAAGTTCATGAATCGATCATTTGTTGAACTAAGCTTTATTTCAATTCACAAACTTCTCGTCTTTTGTTATATCTTCGTTTTTTATAGAAACGTTAATAGCTCATATGTCGATACTAAGAATAGACTGAATACAGAGTATGACAATGACAGCAATCGTATTAGAACAAAGTGTAATACATGATGAATTCGGCTGTTCCAGTTTCAAACTTTTGAGAAGAATGCCAAGACGACGGCCAGCTTGAGCGATTCGTTTGTCGATCAACGAATAATGTCGTTCGAAATAGTGTTGACTCAAATTGAACGAATCATTGAAATGTTGATTGTTGTCATCGATATAGATTTGCGAACAGACAACTTCAATATCTTCTCGAATCCATGCCTTGTAATCTTTGTCACTATTTATATCGGCGGTAGACGATTGATTGATCATAAGCGAATAAAGATAATTAAAATAGTGCTCCACATTAGATGCAAAATGTTTATGCAGGCGATACATTAAAATATCATTATCCCACAACCAATGAAGATCAGTCTGTTGAGTTGCATCCATAAAGTAGCCTATAAATAGATAGAGTAATTTGAACTAACATTGTCGGGGACAGTTTACTAGAAGATTGCGAAATCATTCAATTGAGTTTCGCACGAGAAACTATTGATTGAATTCGTTCTCTGATTTCGATCAGTAGTTTTGAATTTGAACATTATTGAGCATTGTATTCAATACAATTTTTATGCAAAACCAATCGTGTTTTGTCAAAGAATTTTTCCATATTAGGTAGTAAAAAAATGTCTTCTCATCATGAAAAATAAGGCCTTATTAATATGTTGAATATGACAATTTTTGAAAAAAAAAGTGATATCAGATATAATGGAATTAGTAAGTAACAAGATCCAACAATGCAGAAAAAGGAAAATTTTCTTATGCTCTTTTATGGAAAAGAATGTGACTTATGTATTCGATTATTTTACAGTAATGCGTTCAGCATGACTAAGTCAAGTGAATTGTGCTTTCCAAAACAAAAGCTTACTGTGCTAGTCTTTTAGGAATAAAGTATTAAATACAAAGGATTTGTCCTACTCGTAAATGAAAGTCCTGTCCATCTTGATCACATTATACTTCATCATCAGATAGGCTGACATATCGAAAGTACTGTTAGGATCTGTGAAGCTTGAAAATCTTTTCTGTTGTACATGTCTGGCTGGTTGTCACGATATGTTGTAGCAAGAAAAAGTGGGGAGAGTTTTCTCACTATATGCTTCAACGATCATCATCATCCGTGTTTCACAAAACAAGAGATTTTTTCAAGAGAACATTACATGTTTTAATTCGTCACATATGTAGTTGGTAATATTTGAAGTGATAATAAAGAATTAATATGGCTGCTCGTCATCTTAGAATTACTAGACTTCCTTATCAACTCTTTGTATATGTGGACGATAATTTCCTTTTTCTATCTTAAAATAAATTGATATATAAGGAATATGATCATCAGAGGTAATTATCTAATCAAAGGAACTACTAGAAACCTGTATCTATTGCCAACAGATGTTTTATAAAACGCCATACTCGAAAATACCTTTTCGGTTTGTTATCTAAGGTTTAGAATCAATAAATTGATTATTACTAGTAGTATACTATTCACCAGACAACAATTATTGTATTTTAGACGGATTCAAACAGATTTATCGTGAAAAAATTTTATTTATGTTTCTTACGAAAAATAGTTACCTTTGAGCATAGTACCACCTTTGTCGCCAATGAATCCGGCATGTAACGGTTGATGAATATCACCAACAAAATGAAGAAGAAAGAATAGAGCCTCTTGTCGTTGTGTTTCATCAATTAGTCCACCTAACGGAGCGACGATGCGCTTCGTATAATTTTTTAACGCACCTTCAATACATCGATCTTGTAAACAATCTCGTTCAGGTATATATGAACAGTTCCAATCAGGTATACGAATGTAATGTAGTGGAGCAGTCCATAACCAATTTTCATAACCGATAGGATTCGTATTCGGATTGAGAATAACATCGGGCCATGAAGCCATAACACTTAAATTGCCTTTATGATGCCATGGCACCATTGCTCGTAGCCAATCGAATTCTGAACTGTTCAGATGAGTTTCTGCCAGACGAACGACTAAACTGTGTCCCACTGGACCCCACCCATGAATGAGTACTCCACATAGGCCAACGCATAGGAATAGAATAGATGCGAAAAACGACATTAATCTATTATTATCTTGAGGTATATGGGAGATACGAAGTAACTGAGTTTCAATAATCGAAAAACAAAAAATAAAAATGCAGCAAATGGTAAAGAATATTTATCGTAATTCAGAAAGAGAAACGAAATTACCTCGCTTGATAAGAAGAAAGGTCAGTCAGCGCCAAGGCAAAAGCGCATAGAATTTGCATTTTTTCGATTTTTCAAATAGAGAGTGATCTTTACTTTGTACTTAACGATAGATACTGTTCAAATTCACTTAAAACGAAATTTTTCTGGCGAGACTTAATCCACTTCAATTGTTTTACCCGAAACCGTGGTCATATTTCAACTATCCAATTCGATACTATCAGGATCAATCGGCATTGGCTAAAAAGTCTGAGTTTTTTATAATTCATTCAAACAGATTTCTGCACTATTGAATTTAATTAGCTGAAATTTAATCATATGATTTTGAATCAACCAAATAAGATTGATCGACTTTTGCTAAAAGAAACTTGACTCGATTTGGTAGTTCTTAGTATAAGAAATTTCACATTTGAGGTCAATATTCAGTTATTGACGCATCACTAAACTCTTATTGTAACAACCGCGCATAACGTGTAAGTTGTTGCTTCTCCTCGATTGAAACAAGTGCGATGCCTTTCTCTATCTATTACCTATCCATACTTCTATTATTAGTTTGTCCTTTTCTCGTGCATAATAGAGATAACCGCAATACCCTTTCCCGTTCGTTCTTCTTCTATTTGTGCTTTGGAATAACACGCTTAGTGTATCCTCTCCTCGTACATAGTGTTATCCATAAAAGGAATAACCACAATATCTTTTCTATCCGCTACGCTTATCTCTCTTACCTGTACTTTGGAATCATACTCTCGACGTGTCGTTCTTTCGTACATAGTGTTAACCATAATCGTAATCTAACCTTTGTTCTTCTCTGAATTTGTCCTTAAACCCGTATTTTTCTGATATTGTGTTTACTGTATGTGAAGATTTTAGATAGAGTAGGCACAGCTCGAGAGCTATTATCCTAATACTTTATTAGTGTAAGTAAAACTGTACGTATACTGTATTTCTCCCGCTCCTTATATACTATTTCTTAGCATAGAAGGACCTTGAAGAATACAGTAAACACAATAACAAAAAAATACGAGTTTAAGGACAAATTCAGAGAAGAACAAAGGTTAGATTACGATTATGGCTAACACTATGTACGAAAGAACGACACGTCGACAGTATGGTTCCAAAGAACAGGTAAGAGAGATAAGCATAGCGGATAGAAAAGATATTGTGATTATTTATTTTATGGATAACACTATGTACGAGGCGAGAATACACTAAGCGCGTTATTCCAAAGCACAAATAGAAGAAGAACGAACGGGGAAGGGTATTGCGGTTATCTCTATTATGCACGAGAAAAGGACAAACTAATAATAGAAGTATGGATAGGTAATAGACAGAGAAAGGCATCGCACTTGTTTCAATCAAGGAGAAGCAACAGCTTACACGTTATGCTCGATTGTTACAATTATATTTATGTATGGTAGAAACTACATAGTTCAAAGACAGTTGATAAAATAAAAAATTGACAGTCTGTACATTTGTTTAGTCAATATAACAATAAATGAGTACTGGTTGATATGCTCTCCACGAGACATGTAGTTTTCTCTGTAAAAACCTTTCATCATCATCCTACACAAATATGAATATGTTAAATAAACACTATGTAATGTCTCTTTAAATAAAGATTCGAAGAAAAAGAGATTATGCCACTCAACGTGGTAAGACAAATTGTTTGGTAAAACAAGGATATCCGTGAGTGTTGAAGTATGAAGAAAGAATCCTATAGACTGTTCCTGACATTTCGACATTCTCTTGTAGATTTTGTCAACTAGACTGTTGGCTCGCTAGTGGATGCTCGGATCTTAACTGTTGGAGCCCAAAAAATCTCCGCCGTTTTCTCTTGTAATTTGACCTTTGATTTCTTGCCACAGACAATGAGATACGCTTAGGCGTTATCACTAAGTGACGGATCATGATAAATGTAAAAGAAGTTTCTTTTTTGTGCCATCAAAGCGGAAAGAAGCGCATCCTTGCTGAAAAACCAAAGGATTGGTTCATATAACACTAAAGTAAAATAAGCGGTATAGCAACAATATCTTTTTAGTTTTGTCAGGATGAATAACCGTTTATTGAATAGGTTACTTTAAGAATTTTTTTATCAATGATTTCGAGACACTCGCCTTTAATGTAGAATAGACACCAATATGGAAAATTATCTAATTAATATAACAGGACAGTCGAATAGCAATAATACTACGTTGTTTTTCTTTTAGCATTTCAAGAGAAGCTTACGAGAGAAGCTTATCAGATGTTTTCTTACGATTCTAATGACTCTTTACCTACAAATACTGCACAATGTTGAAATAAAAACCCGTAAAAGATTTGGGTTTTTATAGATATTTTACTAAACTATGAAATTGTTAATGTGACTATTTTCTGGCGGTCTCTGAAGAGTTCGAGGTTTTTGGAAGAATCTTACTTTTGATTTTTCATCTGAATATTTGCACATATGGAGATTTCAACTAAACTAGCTTCAATTAAAAAGTTTAAAAGCTTTCAACAAAGTCACTTCGAGATGTGGAACTTTCAAGCTATAAGTTTTTGCACGTATAGTATGCGCACCATGCATTTTTCGAAAGCTTTTTATGTCGAAGAGACTTTGTTCAAAACTTCTGCGTCATTTTTAAGAAAGCTAGTCTTATTGAGTTCACTGTATGCACAAATATTCAGATCGAAATTTGGAAATATGATTTTGTCCTAAGGTCTGAGGTCACATAAAGTCCTTTAGGAAATGGAGATTAAAAACTCGAAAGCTTACGGAAATATCTATGGAAATCCAACTCCTTTTAGGGTTTTCATTATAACACTGCGCAGAATCTATAGGCAAAAAATGGTTGAAATCAGAAGAAGTCATTAGATAGGATTTCTTGGTTAGTTCATAATTATTTGACAGAAGTTTTTCTAATGATTGTGAAGAAAGAGAAGTTTTGAGTGCTGAACAAATCTGGATAGAAATAACATAGGACACCAACGAAATTAAGGTACTGATGAAAAAAGTGAGATTCACTTAATTCTAGTCTCGAAATAGCGAGAAACCTTTTTTTGCTTGAAAACTTAGGTATTGTATTTTTATAATCGCTTTGAAGCAATGGAAATACTAATTCTATATTCTGAAACTGATTTTATCTCAACGTTAGAACACTTGTGGTTTGTCAACGAGTTTAGAATAACCTGCAGGTGTGAATTTGGACACAGATGATGTATGTCTGTTCATCACACACGTCCACATCAATATTTTCCTAAATAGATTCCATTTCCTATGATTTATAATGTAAGGACGAGATATGATTCTAAACGCTAAGCCCATGTGAAAATTTAAACGAGAAAGTTGGCTTCTAATAGTTACAATAAGAAAAGTTTTCACATGGGACACGGTTATCTATATATGACTTTCTTTCTTCATTAATGATTTCCAGTGAGGAGGAAATAGCTTTATGTGATGTGTCTGTACACGATCTGTTTTCTTCTGAAACAGTAATGTAACTTACAAATATACATTTAATGCGAGCTTTTTTTTCTCAAGATATCAACTTGAAGAAAAATCCTGTTTCTCATTATTTTAACTTACATCTCGTAGACAGAATAAATCGCAATGTTGAAACTCTTATATTTCAAAAGCGAATTCCACTCGATTGGCATGTCAATCTTCAATCTTCAAACTCAGTCAAGTCAAAAGAAAATTCGGTTTTATTTTGGAAACTTTTGAAGTCAAGCGTAAGGAAGCTTTATTCAAAATCGCTGTTTGGTCTCCTTCATGCTACTATTTATTGATGAAGCTGACTCTCGATCTGAAAAACAAGGGTTCTTTCGCTGCGAGACACATGCACTATTAATCTTCCAAGCACATACTTTGAGAGTACGTCGAATGTCTTCTAAAAAAAAGTTTTGATTGTCACAATCGTGTGGATAATCGAGTCTTTGGTCATATTATTTATTTATTTTCTATTGACCATAAATTTTTTTCCTTTATCTATATGTTCTCTCTTTAACGATAATGGATATTGCTGTCGGAGAATAACTATGAGTTTGAGTTTGACTTTCATTGGAGAGTCAATAAAATCGATGAAGGGGTGATCCGATAAGAAAACTGGTAATCGATCTATTAGCTGATAATCAGTATGTGGCGTTCTTTTTTCTGTCTATGACTTAATACGATTGTTGATGTGAATGTGAATGTGAGAGCGGTACATGAAAGTAGCTGAAAATAAAATCAAAATCTCACTCATCTGACACTCTTTCGCCCACATCCACCCGCACCCTTGTATACAAAGACACAATTACATGCAGCCAATTGTGTTCTATGGTCAGCAATATAAAATAGGACTAAATTGCTCCATAGAATATTAGGTTTCATTGTAATCTGACCATGCTTCATATAGTTGAATTTCAAATTTTATTTCCGTTCATGAGTAAAAACCAGTACTTTCAAGTTGCAGTGGCATATCTCACATATCGTTTATTCCAATAGTTAGAGTTCGACTGTTTTCAAAGTTATCGATACCGATGAAAAGTGTCAACTTTCGTCGTGATACAACCTATCACTAATTATTACTTTGGCTTGCTCTGAAAAAGAAATATGCAACTTGCTACTGGCTACTTGTTTCAGTTAAGTGCTAAACTTCTCTAGTAAACAAAATCAAATGAAAACATAGTGTTCTAGTATCTCATGTAGGATTGAATATTATAGCAGTAACAAACAATCTGTCTTAATTCATGTGAAGCTCGTAAGTTTTT